CAAAACCGAGGATCCTTTAGAAATGAAACCATTTGTTGATAAATCATACATTTTAAAGGAAAAAGATAACAATAATCATTCTCAATGCATTTTTCCTTATAAACCAAATATTAAATTTGAATATGAAGACGACAACGATAAAGCTGAACCAAATAAATGCTTTAATGAGAGAAAGAAAGAAAAAATAATTATTGATAGAAGTTTAGAACAAGAAACTAAGAATACAAAAAGGATTAAAATAAAATGTACAATGTCAAAGGAAAAAGCAAAGATATTTGGATTATTTGATAATTATTTGCATGAAGCAGTAAAAAATGTTAAATTACTTTCATTCTATGAAATAAGCTTTCCAGAATCAAACAATCAAAGTTTAGAATATGCCGAAAGTGTAGTTAAAAGCGAAAGTAATATTTTTAGAAATAGTTCCTTCATTTTTAATGAGGAAATAAAAAATTTTCCTAAGGAAAAAAAGGCATTGTATTTTAATGAATTAATAATTTTAGCAAATAATAACAAAGTAAATCTAACACAAGTAACTTTATATGAGAATATTTTTGTTGAGAAAATAAATACATAATTAATTAGATAAATAAATAAAAATAATAAAAGAATTACTTTCCTAAACCAACTTCATTTATTATATTCTTGTAAAATATACTTCTCATTCCCTATATAGAATATAAAAAATAATTATTTAATGTACATTTATTTAATTAACTCCTCCATTTCAATATCAACCTCACATAGGTCTTTAGGCAAATAATTAATTAATTTATTAATTATTTCTTTTTTAGTTTCTTTCTTACCTTTAATAATTTCACAGCACAATGCTTTATATTGATCTAACAATCTATCATTTAATAAAATATGAATCTTTTCTTTAATATAAAGCAATGCTTCTTTTTTATCATCCATGTTTAAGTAGCAATGTCTTCTTATTATAAATTTTAATTCATTTATTAATTCCTCTTTTGTAGGTTTAATAAGTAGTAATTCCCAGAAATCATTAGCTCTTTTTGTAGTATTCCCTGTGTTACCTCCCAACAAAAATAATTTATCATTTACACAAGCAAATTGGCTTGCTGTTCTTGGTGCAGGTGATATTCCCTTGTGTGTGGTGTCAATCCATTTTCTTAATTTAAGGTTGTAAATTAAAACAGTAGTATCAGTTAACTTGTCCCTCTCTTTAGAATAAGATACAAAAATAACTATATCATTTCCCCTTAAGACTGATCTTGTTGCCATCCTTCCTTCACAGTTGATTGGAAAGGGAATATTCATGTAAACATTATCATGTTCAATAGAATAGAATGTAATTTCTTTATAATAATCTTTACCTCTGTGTCCCCCAATAACTAAAAGGGAATTGTTAAAAAAGGAAGGGGACTTAAGAATATTTTTGTAATAATTTTCTTCTTCAGGGAAGAAGTTTTTGGGTATAAGAATTAGAGAATGTCCTACTCTTCCTTTTAGTTCAGGAGATGTTTGTGCTACTTTTTTGTTTGGTCTTATTGCTTCCATAGCTCCATTTTCAAAACGAAATAATCCTGAATAACTCTGGTCATTCTGAGTTCTTCCTCCAAATATATACAATTTAAAATTCTCACCAAAAACTCCTGTTCTGCTTTCTCCTACCATCTGATGTTCATATAAATTATTTACTCCGTTACTAAAAGTAAAACTACCCCAAACCCCATTGTAAACATACATAACCTTCTCAATTCCAGATGAATTTCTGCTTGCCTCTGCAGGAATATACCTCCCAAATAAATACACTTTATCATTTATGTTACACATTTTATGACAACTACGTTTACCTGGCAAGGAATTTCCATCTATTTTAATCCATTTCTTAGCATCAACCATGTAAAACCATAAATCATCTAAGTCCTTTTCTCCATCCCAACCGCCATACAAAAGCAATCCATTTTTATATTCTATCATCTGATGACCACCCCTTGAGGATATCATATTGCTATCCAACAATTTCCATTGAATCAAGTACTCACTTCTCTCTAAATAATCATCAAAAAGAAATGATTTTTCTTCTAGATATTTCTCTAAATTGCTAAAATCATCCTCATAAATCATTCTCTTAATTTCCGCAATAATTTTACTTTCATGGCTGATTTTATCAAACAAAAGATTCATTCCTTTATTATCACTGGCTGGTTTATTGAACACCTTAATTTTGCTGTTTAAATCGTTTATTTCTGCATCAGTCAAATTACTCATCTCATTTTTTACAATAACATTCCCTGACTTTATTGATTTATTGGTTAATTCTGAAGATTCATTAGAAATCATTTGATTAAATTTACTTGATAAGTCCTCCTCTAAGCTGTGTACATCAATTCCTTGATTTTTTAAGAATTTAAGTAGAACTCTACAGCTTAAATAATAAGAAATTAATGAGTTATATTGTATAAATGACTCTATTAAATCATATCCTCTCAATTCCACATACCAAATTGAATAGTTAAAGTTCATGCCCCATGAACTCAGAGGATTAATTTTTATTTTATCAGAAATAATAAATTTATTTTCTGTTGCATATTTCACATTAAATGCTTCTTTTTCGGGATCATTTTTTAAGTAGCATTTTAATATTAAAGATTCTTCTTTACTTATTGAATAAATATTGATTTCTTTCACATTGCATACATGTACCTTATGAAACTTACCAAAAATGATTTTAGTAACTATTGCAGGAACTTCTAACCTTAAAATAATGTATTGCCCTAGATTAGTAGCAGAGGTTGACCATCTGGAGGATGGGCTAGTGGGATCATCAGTCTGAATGTTTGATGGCTTGTAAGTTGAAGTAAATGAGCTATAGTCCTCTATCACATAAGAAAGTTTCTTATCTGAAATTCTATCTTTGAATAGCATTTGTTTATTTATCATAAATAAATAAATAAGATTATTTATAGAATAGAATAACAATTAAACTATAATTATTTGATTGGTCGATTTAAGTTTAAATTTTTAACAATAATTTCAAAATCAAATAAAAAAGATTGAAAATAAATATATGTTCTAAATTTTTATATTGTGTTTTAAAAATTAAAAATTGAGATATAAATTGAATGGATGATGTTAAAATTATAAATGAATTTTTTAAAAGATTTTAATAGCACGTATTTTTCATATTTTAATGACATTAATTTAATATTAAATCTATAAATATTTTTATTTGATGCAAAAACTCAATTTTTGAATCATATATTTTTCTAAACCATTTAAATATCACGTATTTTTGACATTTTAAAATAGGTAATTTGAAAAAAGAACTATATATATAAATAAAGATTGAAACCTAATAACTTTAAAATTAAATTTTCAAATACACTCAGCAAAAAATCACATCTTTTAGTAGTATAAACTCTTTTTCTTTTTTATTTTCTGGTTTTAAACAGATGTGGAAACTTTTTACGAATTGGGTATGGATACCGGTTTGTTTATTAACAAATTCAATTTTATTATGACAAACAGAACCGTTATTATAACCTAATTTGCTTAATTTTTTATATGAAGCATGTCCGTCAGTTTGAACTATTAAACCAGACAAAACATGTTCTTTAGTGACCGGTAAAATTGTATTTTCCTTTTTATCTTTAATTACACTGGCAAAGATCTTGGTAATCTTTTGATTACACTCGACAATGGTTATAGCATCTATTTTGTTTGTAGGGGACCTACTACGATGACTTTTAGTCTTAAGATTCATTATTTTTCGTCGATTTAGACGAATTTAAATGGTCCACCAAACTTTCCAATTTTTGTATCGTTCCTTTTTAATCAATTCATTAAACTTATCAATAATTTATTTACTGTTGTTTAATAATGTCTAAAAATTAAATCATAGAATATGTCTGTTGTTTCACACACCACTTTATCAATATTTTGAAGATAGTTTTTAAATCAATAGTGAAATCTTCAAAAAGCCCATTTCTTCTGGTTGAACATCTGCTTCCGTATTTTCAACAGCAATTATTCAGACATCTAAAAGCCTAATTATCTTTGTATGTTTGATAAATATCAAGTTTCTTTTCTTCAAAAAAATATTCGAATGTTTGGCAGCTTCAAAGACAGATATTCGTCATAAATTATTTTATCATTTCTGTGTTTGTCATTTTAATAATTTCTTCTTTAAAATCTTAATGTTTCATTGGGGGATAAATATTTTTTAAACGTGTTTTTTTATGCCCGTATGTTGTAAAAAAACAGGATCCTAATTTATAATATCTTCTTGCTAAGATAGAAAGATGATCTCTAATGTAGAATTAGAAAATAATTAAAAATATTGTAAGGTTGAAATTTATGAAATAAAAGTGAAATTTTCTCTATTTTATTATTGTTAATAATAAAAATAGATTCAGTTTAAATTTAATAAACAAAATATTATTTACCCCATCATCATGTACAGCACCAACAAGGATCACTATGAACTAGGACAGGAGTCCTCTTAATTAAATATTCTTAGGTCAAAGATTAATATATTTTTAGCCCAAAAAGGGTCAGTTCTTGCATGGGAAGGACAGTTATTAAGAATACATTCTAAATTAAAATACTATTAAATGTAAAGTCTTTAAAATGTAAAATACTATCTATAAAATGGAAATTATTTAGGGATATGCTAAAATTTTATAAACGTAACATTATCATGGTTCATAAATGCGCTAATACTATATTCTTAGTGTTTTGGAGTTAAATTCATTAAGATAGTGTCATATCCACTAGGATATGAACCTCTGAGAAGGTGTTTCACATATATTGAATACACATTAGACTTGTTTAGTTTGATAATGGATGGTTTATTTAATGATAGGTGTCTCTCCATAGGGTGTAAGTAAGTAAATTTTATTTTTTATATTTATTTTTTTTTACTTTTTAATTTCATATTTATTATATTAGAATACAATAGATAGTTTTTTAATTTTATACAACTAATGATTTTAATTGATAATTTTTAAATGCCTTGCTTTTGATAATCATCGGCTGTAGTAGCTCAGTTGGTTAGAGTGTCACGTTGTGGCCGTGAAGGTCCCGGGTTCGACTCTCGGTTACAGCATTTTTGAAAACTTGATATTTTTAAATATTGTTTTTAAATTAATTGTATATTGATTTTATTTAAATTTCATAATAATCCTATGACTTCTGATATACAAAATAATTTTGGGTTAGAAAATTGTGAATCTGTTGTTCCTTTATCCACAACTGAAGCATTACAAATCTTACAGACTCAAGAGAGTAGAGTAATGTCAGAAACATCAAGACAAAGTTATCAAAAAACATTTATATCTACGTTTAAATATGCAGAGCTTTGTTCCAAAATACCAATGCATAAATTAGATGAATGCAAAGGATTTTTACAAGAATCTGGCCTTAAACCAGATGAAATAGCTATGATTACTTCGTTGCTTCCACAACAAGCTAATGAAGCTATCTATTTAGTTCCATCTTTAGAAAGGCTTGGCAATGCAATTGAGATAATAATAGAAAAATTCAATTTAATTTGCAATTTATAAAAATATTAATAAATTTTATTTTTTAACCAATTATTTTTAATCCTCCTTTTAAAAACAAAAATATTGGAACTTACCCATTAAAAATGATTAATGAAATTTTACAGTTTTACACAGATAGACTTGTTCCAAAGAGAAGCATTAGATGGACATTTGCAGGAATACTAATTACAATATTTTATTTAAAAGTATTTTTTACTGGTACTCATTATTTAATAACATATTGTTTGTCTCTATATTTATTGCATGGAGCCATAAATTTCTGCACACCACAAAATGAATCAGTTCCAGATATTTTTGATGATTTTGACGTTGAATATGAGCTACCTACGAATAACGATAATGAATTCAGGCCATTTATGCGTAGATTGCCTGAATATAAGTTATGGTTATTATATGTACAGTTGACTTCTGCAGCATTTTTTATGAGTTTATTTGATATATTTGATATCCCAGTCTTTGTTCCAATTTTGGTTATTTATTTTATTTTTATTTCTATTTTAACCGTCAGGAATTTAAAAAGACATATGGAAAAATATAACTACAATCCTTTCTTTACAAGTAAAACAAGCTTTAAGAATGAAAATAAATGATGTCATTTTAATTCATATTTATGTTTTATCATTCAATTAAATATGTATTAAGGATCTGTCATCAGATTTTTAAACTTGTCATTTATTTTAAATATTTATACATTAACATATAAAAAATTATAACTCAATTTAAAAAACCTGGCATTAAATTAAAATATATGATAAATAATAACTAAATAGTATGTTTGATAACTTTGTAGGCCTAGCATTTTACACTTGTTTGGTGAAGACTTTGAAAATAAATTCACTATTTTAAATAGCAAATAGAGGGGGGCGCGTTTGCATTTTTAGCATAAATAATTCCTTAAAATATATAATTACCATCTAAAATAGGCAGTTGAATTAATCATTTGGGTAGAAATGTGTGACGATTCTAAGAATCCATTACAACATTTCTTTTATATTAAAACTACTGGTTGTGTAATTTATTAAACTAAGGAATCAGCTTCTGAGGTTTATCTAATCTGTCTTATTTTGTTTATACTTCAAATATATAGACGATAGGGTTAAGAGATGATGATTAGTGAGGAAGAAAAAGCAATTTATATTGACATTTAATTGTTTTACACGTGTGAGCTTTGCTTTTATTAGAAAGTGTTTTATATTTAAACGTTCTCCATAATTATTACTGTTGGATTTGTATCGAAATAATTTATCAAAATTTATAAACTATTAACAAGTCTAAGAATGTTGAAGGTTTAAAGCAGTATTTTGCGATTTGTATAAATGGTTCCTCTCTTCTTCAAAATGTAACATACGCAAATTTTACTCGTTCTTATGGCCATATCGGTATGGAAAATGGGATTAAATATAGATACTCTTCTTTTTATTCTCATGAATATGTTAAATCAGATTTCATTCCCAAAAAAATATTTTTGATTCATTGATATTTCTAAGTATTTTAAAATTACATGGCACACTATCTTTATAGGCTATATATTGCTCATAACTTCAACGTCTAAAT